ACACATGTTAGATGCACTATGTAGGTTAGGTTACAGTTATACTGGGCAGGTTTATATTATTAAAGGGACACTCCAGGCTCCCCCACATGTTAGGTGCACTGTGTAGGTTAGGTTACAGTTAGTTATACTATGTGGGTTATTATATTAGATGCACTGTTTAGGTTAGGTTACAGTTAGTAATACCGGGTGGGTTTATATTATTGAAAAACAAAAATAAAGGCTGCGCCAGATAAATATATATAGTAACATATGGGAGAAATCTAAATAAAGTCTTAGCTGAACAGATCTTTCTAAGATCAGATAGTCTGTATAGTGTTTAATCAGGAACAGTGTCCTCGCTGTCCTTTCCCAGGGGGATCCAGTATTATGAAAAGATGAAACAAATAAAATAGTGCGGTATGTCTAATAGGATACAACAAATGATAAAAAGAGGTGGTGGTGCACTCACATGTATTAGAGCTAGGACTAGCTCTAGTGTGGAAAGCGTACAGCGGTATTATATTATTAAATGGACACTCCATGCTCCCACACACGTTAGGTGCACTGTGTAGGTGAGGTTCCAGTTAGTTATACTGGGTGAGTTTATATTATTAAAGGGACACTCCATGCTCCCACACACGTTAGGTGCACTGTGTAGGTTAGGTTCCAGTTAGTTATACTGGGTGAGTTTATATTATTAAATGGACACTCCATGCTCCCACACACGTTCGGTGCACTGTGTAGGTTAGCTTACAGTTAGTTATACTGGGTGGGTTTATATTATTAAAGGGACACTCCATGCTCCCACACACGTTAGGTGCACTGTGTAGGTTAGGTTCCAGTTAGTTATACTGTGTGAGTTTATATTATTAAGCTGTCCAGCTGTAAGCTTTCTACAGTATAATGTCGACTTTGTGGCATATAACTGCATATCACAGAAACCTCAGCTGTGCCAAAAAGGCCTGCTTATGGTATATGTATAGAAAGTGAAGAAAACAGGATTGGCTGAGCACCTACTTAGTTAGCATATATCTAGACCCTCATCAAAAACCAAATAAGCCAGTCTAGAATGTTTGTTTCATTACGTCCTAACCCTGGGAGAACTTCTCAATAGAGAGATGCTATAAGAAAACTACAGGATGGTTAGGCTCTGTGATTTCTGGCTTAGTCCCAATGGGTCACAGTTCTGCCAGAGTGTCAGTTTTCATAATTAACATACCAAGCAAAAATTGTATAATTCACCACTCACCGAGATTAAGGTAACAGCCTCTTTAAGTGTGCAGATAAAAATAACATGACGGAAAGATAAACACTCATTTGCATTTTATTGCAAAGAAAATTGGCAGTAAAAATATACGTTAAAGGTCAGCTTGTTTATTTACATCAAGGCTTGTCAATTAAAAAAGGTTATTTTATAATGAATTTTATGAAGGCATCTCTGTACTCCTCAACTTAACATTCTAAAAACTAAATAAAAATAAAACTTAAAGCAGCACCCCCAAACCCAAAAAACAAGTGTTTCATAAAGATAGAATTTTTATGATATAATTATTTTGACGGTGTTCGAATTTCACTGAAATTATAACTCAGTCAAGAGATATACGAAGACAATGTAGGGACTGCTTTGTCTCTGTATATTTCCTACATCTGACAGTTATAGAACCTGGGTGGAACTACCACTGTCTAGAAGTGTCAATATCCCAGCCGTCACTAGTGATGTCTGCAGGGAATTAGCTTTAACTTTGAAGGATCCTGCGGTCTCCTGGGTTCCTCCATAAACCTCGATGTTATAGTCTTGTGCTTGCACAAGAGTTGAGTAGTGATGTTGGCTCCTGGTGTCTAGCGCCAGGAACTGATGAGTACCCGCTGGGAGAAGACGGCGATGCCCAGGAGGGACAGTTTCAGCTGAGTAAAACTCTCCTTTGCCTGCCCCGCCAGCCACCGGACCCCAAGCAGTGATGTCACAGTCAAGGGTCTTTGCAAATTCTGTTAAGTCCTCGGATGGTGACAGTGCAGCTTTAATGATGGTCTACTTCTGGTCAATCTTTTGATAACACCAAAAAGAAGACAAGGCTGTAACTGCAGTTATTTAACTCCTATTCACAGTTGATAAACTACAAGGCCGCATGAGGAAAGAGTTGCATCATTTCATCAAGAGTAGAAGATTCACAGGTCACCTACCATTATTCAGCAAGTTAAATGCAACCAATGATTGTGGAAGAGGCCACAACCTTTAGACTTTTAGCCATGTCCCAAACAGGGGGGGGGGGGGATGACTAAGAGACAGACAGAGAGACTGGCACACTCCTTCATCGGAACCATTTAAAGAAACTCAAGATCTCTCCCATAGCACAAGACTTTGAATAAAACTCTGCTGCATATTTAACGTTAATTTGAGTTTTTAACATAACAAAACTTTAATCCCAAGAGACCAGCTATAAGGAAAAATGCTCTATAAAATGGTTAGTTATACTACCAGAGGAACGGAATACATTACTGAAATGTAAACATCACATCTTCAGGTGTCATACTTTAGTACAAAACACATGTCTACAGGAACGTCTGCCTAATCATGGTGGATAAAACATTTTTTTTTCTTAAAAAAGCAAGAAAAACAGACTTCTGTGTCTCGCTCCTGCTAGGCTCCTGCTAGCGTGAACATTAGGGCCTTGCGTGCTGTTTTCCATTAAATAAAGCCAAAGATCTTAAACTACTAGCAGCATCTGCAAATTATTCCAATTCCTGATTCGACACAGAAAACTTAAAGTTAAAATAAATAAATAATGCCCAGTGCGGTTTTCAACAAATCCCCGTACAACTAGAACAAGTGATTTATTTTTTTATTTTTTTGATCTCACTTCTTTTGCCAAAAGATCAGAAAAAAAACCTAAAATAAATACATAAATGAATAGAGGGTATAACGATCCTTCAAATTATATTATAAAGGGATCTTGCGCCTACTTCACATTTGATAGAGGTTTATATTAAGAAAAAAAAATACTGCAAAAAAACAAAACACAAAATAAAATAATAATAATATACTTCACTTTAAAGTTCTGTACGAGTTTGACAGTTTACAGTTGTGTGGCCCAAACTTTTGGCAACAATCAGCAAAGAGGCCAAAGAGGACTAGGAGGAGAGAAACAGACATCCTAACATCGCTTACAGAAATTTGTACAAAATTGCCAAGGCAAAGGAAGAAATGCGAAGTCCTCCACTGATCTGAGCAAGGAGAATCCGTTGTCTTATACCTGCAGTAATTATTTACAAACTGCTGCAGATTTAAGTCATTGTCAGCAGGGAGAGTAAGTGCAAGGTATTCTCTGCACCATAACCTGCTATAGCACCTAAACGGACCGTATGGAAAATGGTTTTTTTTCTGGGGCTTAAAGGATGTCTAAAGTTTCAAAGCATTTTAATAAAATAGAATAATAAAAATTGATTAGTAAGACTATCTTAATTAAAAGGAAGAAAAAAAAGTTACTTGTGGGGTCGCCAAAGTTTTTCAAAGACCCTCCCAAGAAACATGTCCAATGGATGATGGTGCCTACAGATAGGAAGATAAAGTGGGGGGTGGGAGGGGACCTGCTCAGGCCCTGTTCATTCCCGCTCTATGCTTCCATAATATGTATTCATCCTGAAGTGACAATTAGCTATTCGTGAAGGGAGCTAAACGGTGACTAGGACATTATAGCATTAGGTATACACATTTGTATTGCCAACGCTAGTGTTCTTTTAAAATATATTTATCCTTACAAAAGTTCTGGAATTACAATATATCCTTTCTTGGAGGATTTATTTTATTTTTTATTTTTATTTTTAAGGGGTGACTACTTAACCTTGTACAGACCTAGTGTATCAACAAGCCTTGCGTTCCCATTAAAATATATTACCATTATAATTATTATTATTCCTGGTATTTATATAGGGCCAGCATATTCCACAGCGCTTTACAATATTACCATAAACCTAAAACCTATTAACGCCTGGGATGGCAGATATTTAGAGTTACATTTTCAATGTATTTTATGACCATTCTAGATCAGAATTCTGTTTAGGGATGTGAAACCAACAGTGAACAACACGTTCATCATAAATCCGTAATGACAACGGTTCTAAATGGCTGACTGGCAATTTACATTAGCATTTTCTAATCAGTACTAATAAAGCAGGTTGCACTCTGGGAGAGTAGACTACAGGGATGTCAAAAGTATGATTACCCTAGAGTCATATCTGCAGATAAATTGGGCTTAAAATGAGAAGAAAAAAAACTGCTGAGATTTTGTGTGTGTATATATATTTTATTGTAAACATTACTCAGCATTGCATCCAGTCAATAGAATTGGTTCATTTTAATACACACTAGTATATATTAATAAATATTAAATGTTCAAAGCTGTAATGGCCACAGCCCATTAGTGTAAAAAGATAGTGTATTCTATTGCCCCACAGCTTCTTTATTGTCAGTGAGTCAGGGAAAGTGAACACCTTTAAGCCATGCATAGCACACTGTTGCCACTGATCCAAACACTTAGACAACTGCCTGTGGAATACGCCGTAACACAGCAGCTCACACTTCACGAGGGAATTAAAAAAAACATGTATTTTGCTCTATAATTTGCAGGGTCTTTGTCCCTAACAGAGAGAAGCAGAGGACGAACATGGAGAGCACACTCTACAGCTGCTTAGATAATGCACAATATACAACTCCACATTATCAATATCAATTTTGTCCAACCTGGATGACAGCCACTAGATGTGTGTTTAAAGGGACACTATAGGCACCCAGACTCACTGAAGTGGTCTGGGTGCACTGTCCCAGATAAAAACAAAAATAATAATAATAAAAGACATGACCATTTCATGGCCTGAGTAACTTTAGTTTTCCTTTAACAATATCAGAACAGAAGTATTACATCTATGCTAATTTATACCACAATGCAGTGTTTTGCGTGTTAAGCAACATAAAAAGTACAGTACAGTAGAGATGTCGTGAACCGTTCGCGGCGAGCTCCGGTCAGCTGACACATCCCGGCCAATCTCCAGCAGACCCTCCCTCCCAGACCCTCCCACCTCCTGGACAGCATCCATGTTGAAGGCAGCTTCAACATGGATGCTGTCCAGGAGGTGGGATGGTCTGGGAGGGAGGGTCTGCTGGAGATTGGCCGGGATGTGTCAGCTGACCGGAGCTCGCCGCGAACGGTTTGTGACGAACCACGGCGAGCCGTTCGCGGGAAGTTCGCGAACGGTTCGCAACATCTCTACAGTACAGTATAGTTACGTTATCTACAGATTTTGATAAAAAATTCATTTTATTCAGCAATTAGATCAAAATGTCAAATGGGTCAAAAGTCTAAACACTTACTGTTAACGACAATTTAATTTTGATGATTTTACAAATTAGCAATTATTTTCCCATCAGTTCACTCAATTTAACATCGCCTTCAGAAACTGCTGCAAAGCACAATGAAATCTCTGCCCGTTAAAAAGAAACACGCACACGTGAAGACACGCATTGCAGCCTACAACACAGACTTTTTCTCGCGCAAACAAATGGAGCTAACCAACTGTGATAAGTGGCTAAATTCCTACTGAATTGATGGATCACAAAATATTTAAATTCAACCTACCATTTCCCAATGTCAAGCAGATTACCATTCAAAACAGTCAATTTATCTAAGTAATGATAGCTATAGACTTAAAACAACCACCAGGTGCATTTGAAATCCAATGTATTTATCACTGTGTGATATAGGCCATTTTAGCAGCTTGGCCCATGATTTGCATGCTTAATCCACCATTTTAGGTATCTCTTCCTCAGTGGGGAAAGCAGATTGGTCACTAAAGCTTCAAGGGAGGTGTTATGAGCACCAGACGTCTTGGTTGACAAAAACTGTACAGTTCTACCTTTAAAGCCATAGTCTCTAAGCCATGGCTTGACAAATATGTTGGGAATCTTGGAGCCAGCTTTAAAAAAAAAAAAAAGTTCGGAGCCAGGTTTATTTTTTAAACTAACAAAGTTTCATGTTCAACAACAAAAATGCAATTCTCAAAGGGACACACAGTCTGTTGCGGGCTCTAGCATTCTATTAACGGAGCAGGAAATAAAGTCTAAATTAAACAGACCGTGTAATAAAATAAGTTTAAACATTTAATCTCTCTTTACAGGACGTGTTAAGGAAGGCTGTGCAGATTACATGCAGGTAGGTGTGACTAGGGCTGCATAAAAATATACAGCGCTACGGAATCTGACGGCGCTATATAAATAACATAATAAACAAAGTGATTTAACTTCTAAATGAAAGAATTGAGCAGTGAGACTAGAGGGGCACGATCAATACACCAAAACTGCTTCATTAAATGGATACTGTAGGCTCCCAGACCACTTCAGCTCATTGAAGTGGTCTGGGTGCAAACTCCCATCGCCATTAACCCTGAGCATTACATAACTGCAGTTTTTATAAACGGCAATAAGTACCTGCTAGGGTTAACTCCTCCTCTAGTGGTGGTCTACCAGACTTTTGATTGCCTAAACGACACTGGAGTGGATTAAATAATGCTTTCCTATAGGGAAATCCTAATGCGACCACGGCCATTGCCAAAAGGTCTCCCCCGCTGTCTGTCACCGGCCGGGGGGAAGGGGGCGTAGATGGAGCCTGACCCAGCACCGAGGGACATCAGAGGTGGACCTAGGTAAGTGACAGAAAGGGTTATTAACCCCTTCTGCACCATAGGGTGATAAGGGAGGGAAGGGGGGCTTTGACCGAGAAGGAAGCTTTAGTGCCAGGAAAACTAGTTTAAAAGGTACGGAATATTTATTTATAAACGTTAACCATCTGTCTATCAGAGAACAGTCACTGAGTCAGCTTTCCATACACTCTATAAATCCTAATAAAAATGTGAGGAGGGGTCACCAACGTGAAGGCTTTCATTTTTACACAGTAGAAACATCATGTGTTCATTTTCATGGTAATCTGTGGAGACGTGATGAAGTTATGGAACGTCTCTGAAGCTTCCCATGTGGCCGTCGTTTTTAAATGTTACAGTTACCACTGTCAGTTATGAGACCAGTAAAGAGATATTGTCATTCGGCATGGCTTAAACAAAGCATAATATGACAGAGATTAAAGTGGATCTGTCACCCGTGAGATTTTCTGAAATCATTTACCTTCAGGAACAGCCTCTCCGTCGCAGTTTTAATTTTTAATTATTAGCGTTATTAGTTAGGCGCTTTTTAATTTTTTTGCCACTTCAGAGATTTCCCTTCTGACTTGTGTTCAGATCCCGTATAATTATTCTCTCCTAATCTGAACTTGGCTCTTCTTCTCACTCTTTCGGGAATACCCAGAGCGTTGCAGTTTAAAAATAAACTTTGTGGATAAAGATCAGACCTGACCAAGACAACTCCCAGTAAGGAAATCATTTTTAGAAGACAACGGTACATTCACGGGACTGTATGTTTGGGAAGGAGTTTTTAGGTCCTAAATTTACATAGTTATTCAGAAAAGTAAGAATTGCTGGAAATTCAAAGGGAATTTCTAAAGCTAGGCTAAGCTTTAGTCAAATTTGGTCAATTCCGTTTTTAGTTTGGTTATTCTGGTTTTACCTTTGATGTGGACTATCAATTCCTAACAATTATCTCTTTGGTGAATAACTTTCCTATGATGCTCAGGTGAATCCCACCGTGTTTCGCATATTTGGCTACAGTCATCAGCATCGATTATGTCAGCCAATCCAATGTTTCCCCATAGTGAAAGATTGTGAGGCTAGTGCGCTCGCGTGGCAAAAACGCTGTTCTGCACCAATCAAATAATGTGAGACTGACAAATAACCGAAATGCCTCTAGTGGCTTATTAGCCCTACAACGTAAACATTTCAATGCCTGTATATGGGACAAAACTACAGGGACATAGCTATCATACCACGTCTTTTAGATGATGTGGTCTGGATGCCTAGAGCGTCCTTTTAAAGAACCACAAACATTCAATAAGGAGAGAACGTAAATGAAAGGAACGAAAAGTCAAGGACAGCTGTTACAATATCACATGTTTACTTGTACTGACAAAATATCAGACTACACTGAAACAAGGCTAATATTAATAAAGAAGTTTGCGCTACAGGATATAGGAAACATTTTGTAGACAACCAAGACCATCACATGGCTGTCATTAGTTTGTCTGACATAGCGTAGAGTCACATCAAAATTCAATTTACTATTACGCAAACTTCTCCAATTGTACCTCTGTCAGCACCAGTTCTACTTCAATGGCTTTAGATGGCGGACATGAAAAAAAGCAGATAGTAGAATGAGGACTTAAAGTTAGGAGCCAGAGGACCATTTATTATTCATGTTTGGATATTTTTTTTTTTTTTTTTTGAAGGTCTAAGGAGGCATACAAAGTTGGACAACATATTTAATAGATATAAAACATAATGTGATTATAGCCCGTCTCTACCTTTGTCAATCCCCGGTAGAAGATATTCTGTATCCCTAGTGTGTCGCTGGTTAAAACGGATAACGCTGGGGCTGTTTAATAAAACAGGATATCCACAGCGAAATGTATTCTTTATGCTGGCTGAACACCATGTAGTTCACAAACACCTGGAATACCAGCAATGCCCCCAAACCAACCCTCTGGCACTCAAACGATAAATCACATTAAATCTATTGTGACAATAATTAAACTTGGATTCAGTCATGAAATATGCATATAAATACTTTGGGAGATAAAAAAATAAAATAATATTTCAGAATAAATAAAACGCCACACACATCTTGCCGTTTATCCTCCCAGTGCTACCTCTCAAAGTGCTCGTCGGATGAAGCAATCCTCTGATTGGCAGGCAGCCAGCTGGATACGAACAGGGGCTTTTCCTATCCTGTTGCTTACGCTCAATTCAGACGCTTGTTCGTACAGAGCACTATTTATAGCAGCTGGCGAGTAACCAGCCACAACTCAGCCGCACATAGACCGCAAGAAGGGGGGGGAAAGAAAATAAATCGAGAACGATATGTTTGTGTTATTTTTCATTTACAAGTAGAGGTCATGCGCAGAGGAGATTGCAATGAACAAATGACATCTCACATGTTAAAATCTGTAGTGCTTTACAGTCGTTCGGCCACCAAGAGTCTCAGATTCCCTTAGAAAGTCCCTAGATTAGACCAGAACATGGCGTATTCACGAACTACTTTTAAATCGGTGAAAATCCAACCTACACATAGAACATCAGATCTCATATAAACATCAGATTTTTCTTTCCTTTTTTTTTTCAGATGTGTTTCGGAGGAAGAGGAAGGATATCTTCAAAAGTGGGCCGAGCAACCCTGACAAGTGTCGGTAAGGAGCATATAAGCTTACTCGGTGGTGATTATGCACTACACTGTATCGACGGCAATAAACAGAGAAATAGCAACGTTTACATATGTGAAGAAAGACAACCACTTGGACATCAGTGGAGGCGGCCATGCCGACAGAGGCAGACAGGTTAGCAGCACAGCATGTCCCTCCACACTGGAAAAAAAGTGAGCAAAACCTATCCTATTTTTATTCTACAGCGAACAAGTGAGTGGGGGATACACTAAAAGGAGTAGGAACAGGAATAGGATAGTGTTGGGAATACAGATTCCTTTAATGGTTCTCACAGATTCTCAATCTACTGAATGGCAGTACAAAAATTGCCATGTATATACCTTCTCTTTGGATTGGAGAAAAGAGACAGAAGTCCAAGTGGCTGCTGAAAGGAGTCTGTCCTAGCTATGTAGTAAAGGATTTTGTGTTTTGCATTTTCTTTTTTTATTACTGTAAAAAAGGGGCCCTGAATTTATGAGCATAAAATAACACACTAAATTTAAAAATAAATATATTTATTTTTAACCTTAGAGTGGTCCCTTAAGTAGATATGAATTTATGGATTTATTACCCTCTTTGTAAATAAATGCAGAATCAAAGCCACAAAATGAGATCCAGCTGTAGATTTTATGCAAAGAGGAAGGAACCAGAGGCTACATAATCAATTAGGAAACAAGAAAAAAAAAAAAAAAAAGTATAATCTAAACAGATTCGGTTATATATAAGATTTATTTATACAGACAGTGCATTAAAGATAAAGATACTCCTCAAAAGCGGAGATGGACTTTAAGCCACTTCAGGTGGACTCCTTCCTCTACAGTAAGAATCTC